TTTTGGGGTTGTCCTGAAGTTGTATTCCCCAGCTGCAGCTTGCCTGCCGCGTTCTTGGGGCCCAGTTTAGACATCTGACTTCAGGCAGGGTTGTGGAGGGCTGGAAAGGCAGGGAATGAAATTGTTCCATAACTGGAGCAACTAGCTACTTGATCTGACATGCTTTTTATTAAATTAATGCCCTCAAGAAGATAAGGCAGGTGGTTGTATTAAAAAATATGCTGTAGGCTTCAAAAATAAAAAAAAATTCACCTTTATCCCTGTGTTTTCTCAGGTAGGAGGTGATTCTTGTCTGTTAATATTTATGGCAATGCTGCTGTCAACAGTAAAGTAAGTTTATAACCCTTCCCCTGTCTCTGAATCCTTTCCCTTTTGGATATTACTCTGGGTTCTAACCTTGGCAATAGAAAAGCTGGGAAAACTGAACGTAGTAGGAAATGAAAATAACAACTTGTTGAAAAACAGCAACTACTCCTGTTGCTTGTTTCCAGCAATTTGCTGAAAATAGCAGCTTCTCAAGCACTTCACAGCTGTTTTTTACAAAACAATCCTGATTTTTAGTACAATGACAACAGACAGGTATATCTTGGAAATATGCTACTTTACTTGAGGGGGATGGGAGACAACTAATTACTAGGATTTTAAACACTGCTTTTTTTTTTTTTTTTTAAAAAGTCTCTTTTTTCCTTAAATTGGAATAAGCCTAATTTTAATTAAAGTGATAATGTTGGTGAAGATCACAAAATGACTAGATAGTTCTATATATATATTATATAGACACACACCTTTACTGTTATCAAAATCATACCCTGAAACTTGCAACTACTGTGGGTCAGTCCCTTACAGGAAGCAGAGAAGTTATCTTCCTCTTAACTTTTTTTCCCCCCACTATAGACATTTTCTCACACAAGGGGTTGTTTTAATGTTTAAATATGCTAATTTGGTAGTGGTCCTTCCACATCCCAAGCACGTGTCAAGGTAGGCACGGTTTGGAGGGTGTTTGCTGCTGTCAGAGGAACACAACTGTAACAACACCAGCCAAACAAAGGGTTACTAGGAGGATTCCCAAGTTTGCCAAGAGTACATTTTGCTGATGTCAGCAACCCGGAAGGTAAGTTGATTTTGACCATATGTAGGAATAGACAGCAGAGGGATAATACACAGCACTGCTGGGTGTGGCTTTACAGGGATTTAGCAAGTACCAACTAGCAAAATAAGCAGGGCAAGGAGATTAATTACCTGCAAAGGTGCATGTTTAACTCTCAGCAGTGCTGGCTTATGGAAGAGATGTTACTAGCAAGCATTTTGCTTAATCACCTAATTACGTAAAAAATAAATACATTATATAAAATACTATGTTAATTAAACACAGCTGAGTGACAGTCTGCTCCACCCTAGCCTCATGTGCACACACAGACATTCAGAAGTGCAGCTGTGTGTTCTCTCTCAGGGTGACATTCTGTGACATTGGTGAAAGAGTTCCTGAGAAATGGCACTGCTTGGTCAGTGGGCACCACAGCTTGGGTTGTTCCTGTCATGCCAATATTTCACTGGTGTCCACTCACAGAATCTGCAAAGCAAGGGGGAGTTTAGTGCCAGTTAGCTTCACAAGGAGATGAGGAGCATTTTAAGATGAACCTTTTAATTGGTTCCCATCACATTTGAGGATTAGGCCTAAAAGAGGGCAAAGTAAGTTTATATTCTTTCCTCCTTCATCTGTTTTATAAACAGTGTGGTGGGCTGGGTGCCTGTTGCTATCTGGTCCACCTCAGCCTAGATTAAAATTCAGCACTCTCAGTGTATTTCTTAGTAGATCACTGTGTGATCAATACACACAAGGGTAATGAAAGACCTGTGTGCACTTACATGTGGTGAAATGCAAAGTTTTAACACTTACTTAACTGCCAAGACTAAAATTGCCTAATGCACTATGGGCCTTACTGCTACAAGGAGTAGTCAGTTCTCTCTGAGATTCAGAGAGAAACTCTTTTTGTTGCCCCAGCTGTACTCACAAGGGAATATTTTGCAAATAACAGCATTGTGAACATGTATTTTGTTTGGCTGTGAGTGTTGTCAACGGATTCAGGAAGTGAAGTCAGAAAAAGGCAGGGTTTCAAACAGGGCAGGCTACACAGAAATGCCTGGGCAAAGAGCCTCTAATCAGAACAACATGTTTGGGACACAGGAATATTAATTAGAATTTGGGTCTCTATTGAAACCAACAGAAGCCTCACACTTCTATCCTGTGAACAGAAGAGAGCTACAAAGAGAGATTTGACCGTCATTACTCACTGAATAATTTTAAATCCAAAGCATTTTTCATTATAGGAAGAAGAGTAACAATTTAACTTATTCTCCAGTGGGACAGAGTTAGAGTTACCAGCCACTTTCAGCCTCAGAACACAATGTAAGTTTGTACAGACCCCTATGTATCTGTAGGTCTAAAAAATGCCAGCTTCAAAACAGAGGACTTTAAATACCAGCCTAAGGCAGCACATTCCCATTTAACAATGAAGTCTATCGAGCAGAGATTCTTCAGCTATCTCTATTTCATAGGGAGCTGTCAGGAAATCCAGACAATATCCCTCCAATCTATGTAAAAAATGGCTGACAGTTCTGTCCCATTCAGAAGTCTAAGAAATCCACTGCAATAATTCATTTCTGAAAAGCAGCTCAGGCTGGAACAAGCTCAGGCACCACTGGAGAGCACCATGGCGTGGGCTGTGCCATGTCCAGGAGAAGCACAAGGCAGAACTGAAAAAACCCCACTTCTGTATAGAAAATAAAAGTTGCAAACATCATGAGTGAACACAAAATATTGCTAACAGGCAGATGGACAGCAAGGAAATATTTGAAAGTACCATATACACAAACCCATTATGAAACAGATGATACCTTAGGAACATCTGGTACCAGCTGAGGGACAGGGAAAGGAAGGTGGTATTAGCCTTACAAGTAAAGAAAAAGAAACTTCAAAATGCAGATGGTTTGCTTTTTTGGGAAGGTAATTCTTCCAGAGAAATGCTTGTTCCTTGGAATTACATGTGCTGCCAAAACCAGAGCCTGCACCCAGGGCTGGTGGCCATCCTAATTCTACACAGATCTGTTATTGTTGACATGAACAGGATAATGTATCCTCTGAGCAGAGAATGTGCTCCTTACAAAGGAAACTTGTAGAAAGTCATCATATAATTTACCGTGAAAGCCTCTGACTACTGAAACACTTTTAGAGTGATTTTGCACAGCAGGGCCCTCTTTTCCAATTCTGCACATTATTCTTTGCAGTACTTTTTTGTTAAGAAACAATGGAACTACAAAAATCAAATTAGATTTTCATCATGGTCCCTTCTGTCCTTAAATATCCGAAACCCTAGAAGCACAGTTACAATGGGGAAGAATGACTTTTTGAAAAGTTAATTAAATATTGAAAACACTGCTAATTTTCTTAGTTATAGTGTAACAACAGACATCAGGGGAAAACCAAACACAAACCTAATTCAGAAAAATGAGCAAGTAATCTGTTCTTGAAATCTCGCACAGAATTTGATAGGTCATGACTGACCTGATTAATCCAAATCTCTATAAAATACCTAGAAATTGTAAACAGAAGCTTTCCTCAGTCTCACAATTATTTTCTGGTTTTGAGTCTTATATTCTCTAAGCAATCTCTAAGTTGAACCCTTTAACAAAAGGACGAGAAACTTGCTGAAAGTTCCTCTGAACTGTGAATTTCATTCCTTTTTCTCTTTTTAATTAAAACCAAGTCCTGTGAGACCTGGCAACATAACACCAAAGATGTGGGAAACAGGATAGAATTCCAGCAGATGGAGCTCAAAAGCAAACAGTCCTGGAACCAGCTGCACAACTGCCTGGAACAGGAGCCTCTGCTTAGGTGGTGTAGTAGCCAAAAAAGACTTCAGATGAAACCTGTTATCATACAAGCGTGCTAAAAACAGAATAATTTTATCAGCTCTCCTGAATTCTTAAAATAATCACTGCAACAAAGAGGGAGATCCTGCATGATTTTAGTCATAGAATAACCACAGTAACTTCAGAGAACACTAAGAGTTCAAACTGAGTGTCCATGGCTGCTTTTCTTAATTCTCCTCCCCAGTAATGACTTGGCTGGCCTGGCTTTTAGATGGCTGCTGTTACCACACCTTTCTGTCTCAGAAAGCAAAGCATGAAAATACACACAACACAGGGACCATCCAATAACATTGCTATCCAAACCCACAAAGCCTCTCTCTCACACAGTGCTGTACTGAAAAAAGAAAACTGAACAAGTTTGGAATCTCTACTGGTAGGTTTAAAAGCATGGCCAAGCACTACCAAAATTGGGGCCTACCTATTTCAAGTGATGTGATTCTCAAAGTTGCTGACTGTGTGATGACAAATCAAACCACCTCAGCAACTATGAAAAGTTCATTTTCATTTGTGTCCAAATGCAGTTTTAGAACTTTCAACAGCAGCAAAAATTGTGAGCTGCTGCACACACCTTGCAAGCTCTGGAGGTTGTTTTATTTTCACCTTGAGAAATCAGACAAAAAAATTCATAACACTTTAGAGATACAGCTCAGGATTTATACAGTTTGACTTCTGACACCTAACAAAGTTGGGATAGGAGGCACCACAGGTTCTGCTTATAGCTGACAAAAAAGCACAGGCCCCTTCAGAGAGTGATCTGGATAAATTAAATTGCTGGTTGAAGTGCCTGTGCCTCAGCAATGTTTTTTTTAACTTAGGAGCCTCCAGTCAGATAGGATGAAACCAGGGAGGAACAATTACCTGATTAGAATCAGGAGACATTCACTACACAGAACATTTCTGCAAACATCCACCACGTGTTAGTGCTGAACAAATTTCCATATGCAAAGCTTTACTCTGCTGCAGCCCATACATAATGTACAACTTTTTTTTTTCTTCCCCTATCCAAATATTATCCCCAAATATTAACTGTGCAAAACTCCTTGCAAGAAGTAATTAAAAACAAGACTTACAATGAACCCTCCAGTGGTGTCTCAGGGCTCCAGTCAAGATATGATCTTTATCATGTTAATAATCACCAAGTGTCTGACCCAAATACCTGAAGGGGAAAAAAAGAACCTGAATTCTCCAGGCAAAATCCATCCCCAATTTTCTTGTTTGGCTCTGCACTCAATCATACAGATTGTTCTCCCTGCTTCTTGACTGAACAAGATAAAGTATTTATAAGTACATATATTTTAATTAGTTAAGCAAGTGTTTTAATATTCAAAATTACATATAAACTATGTAAAAAATATACAGTAAGTGCAGCTAACTCTGGAACTGACAGTATAAGAGTTTGCAGTTAGTCTCCAAAAAAGGTTACTGACCAACACCAACCCCTGGAAAGTTTTCGTCAAATTTCCTTCTTTAAATGATGAATTGTAAGCAGAATTTAGTGTTCTTTGCTCAGGTTGTTCCTCTTTGACGTAGAGATTTCTAACCAGTATCTTTCTGGTACAGCACAATTTCCAGTTTTCAGGAATGTGACCTATTGAAAAGCAGGCAGATTTCTCCAGGAAGATGTAACTGTGCTTTTAATAATCAGGGTGGTTAAAGACTTCTGGATTTTATTTCCCACTTTTGCGCTCCAAAATCCACCTCAGCTCATATATTTAGAGCAGTGCCCGTCACTACACATCAGAGTACTGACAGTTTAAGTTCTATGTAACTTTGGAGAAGTAACAATAAAGTTGACCAATTTGGGTGTTTTTCAAAATACTGACAGCTACCAAAAAAGTAGCACAAGTCCTGAAGATGCTGAATATCCCAGTTTAGGAAATTAGGAGGAAGGGAAGGAAGGGAAGGAAGGGAAGGAAGGGAAGGAAGGGGAGGAAGGGGAGGAAGGGGAGGAAGGGAAGGAAGGGGAGGAAGGGGAGGAAGGGGAGGAAGGGGAGGAAGGTTCATAGTCTCACACTAAACTTTTATTTCCATAAGTTACACAACTCCAGCTCTTTCAAAGGGATTGTCTCAAACTGGTCCAAGCATGCACATCTGTCTTTTTGAGCAAGACCTCAGGTAGTTTTAGCTGGTGTTTGATGAAGGTACCAATGAAGCAGTTCAGGTTTCTGTGCCAGCAGGAGCCACCACTGCTGCAGGGGCAGCTGCTGCCAGGCAAACACTGAGAGAGAGGCACCTCCTGCACTTAGGGAGCTCAGCTTTGATATGTACAAGCATTTTTTCTACCTTGGTGCCAACCTGAGCAGCTATCCTTTTCTTTTCCACTCCCTCCTTTGTGCTGGTAGTACTTTTGGGAGTACTTTACCTTGCATTGCTCCTTTTATTCTGTTACCCAGAGAGTTCTACAAACTCCTGAAATGACAGGGAGCAACAAGGGAGGTGGAACACAAATGCAGGTACAGGAAATGAGGATGGCATCTCCTGAAAGAAATACAGCAATATCCAGACTGCCACAGATTGAGCCAGAACTCCTAAATTGATTCTTCTCAATGGAACTTACAATACAAAAATGCCTAGACAGATTTTGCACCAGTTTTACTAACTTAATTTGAATTCACACTTTTGGTTAAACAAGCTCAGCTTCCCATATGGACAAACCCATAAAACACAGTTTGACTTTCCCAGGGAACATTTTTCATGCAGCCATTAACTTGAACGAGAACTGTGAGACATTACTGTACCTGCTTATGAAACTGTTTTTGTTAGATGACTAACTTTATGCATATATGTTTAAAATTATTTAAGAGGGCAGTGAGGTTATTATTCCAAGTCTTATAAATGGAATTTCTTGCACATGTTCCTGATATTGGCTTCCATGCCTGTTTTGAATTTACTTACAAAGTACACTACCACACCCAAAATTAATTTCAAGCTATTTCCTTGGCCCCCTCCGTTTGCTGCATTATCATCCTCACGTGCAGAAACTGCTCCTGTGTTTTTCACTGCACAGGAAATGCCAGGCTGGCAACATGAGAAAGGCTTGGATTTTAACTAAATGTTAACGGTTATTGCTGTGGCTTGAATGTGGCAACGATGAAAAGCTCTCACATTTAGGATCTACAACTCCTGCTTGCTACTGGCAAAAGCAAGTTAAGGTTCCAAACAAACTCTAAAGGTAACTGTGACAACATAGGGGCAAAAGCAACAAAGTAATGACCTGAGGGAAGGAAAAATCTTCTAAAGTTACTCTCTTTTTCTGTTACAAACAGGCCAATTCTCAAAGCTGTTGGAAAGGAGGAACACCGGGAGCTCAGGGCCGCCTCATTTTCTATGGCCTTTCTAATGGTACTTTCTCCTGGAATTTAGTTCTACGTGTTTTGACACTTTCAAAACCCTATCTAAAAAAGAAAAGCTCCCATTATCCCCTTTTTAACACATTTCCCATCCCGGCACAGGAGCACAGCCCCAGCAATCCAGGAAAGCACTGCCAACAATCTCACCCCTTCCTGCCTCTCCAGGAGAGTGTCACTCCTCTGCTGGCAGTCGTGATCTAAGGCAATTAAGAAGAAATAAAATTCCTTGTCTTTACAACTGGACAGAAACAGGAACAATCAAGACTTCGCCATTAACATACAATAATAAACCCAGATTCCTCCGTGTTTCTGGGGTTCAGGTGATACCACACCAGCCAGGAGCACTGAAACTCAAATTAATGAATTTGAGTTTTAATTCCAGCTACAGCGGTACATGAGGCGCTCCTTTATAGTTGCACACACAGTTTTCCATAACTGCTGACTGAGATCTGCAGGGTAGAAATAACGAGCTTAATTCTCCTTTTCCCAGGCAGGACAGGAAAAAATGGCTTAAAAAAACAAAGCTGAAAAGCCCCAAACCAAACATCTATGTCTTGATCTAAATCCTCTCTCTGGATCTTCAAAATTATACTGACTTCACAGAGATCTTCTCTCTGATTTAAATGACTCCATGCGTCTATGAGTTCAAAAAGGAAAGTTTTATAAGTACAGGTTCAAATCAGGCTCTCCATCTAGTAAAAATTACCACTTTTGCCTTACAACTAAAAATGATCATTAAATGATGATACTCAAAAAATCTATGAAAGACTCTTCAAATTCACAGAAGAGTCAGAATAAATGCAGAGCTCTTGATTACTGAGAATTTTTAATGGCTTTTTATTTCTTTTGTGCACATCCATCAATATTTCATACACCAAAGCCTGTCCCATATAAACAATGATATATTAAAATGTATTTTGATGTATTTATCAAACTAGATTAAACTATGTTTAAACACTGCTGGTTCTAGATCTAAAACTGGAGTATTAAGATTCACCACATTACAAAAATCCTAAAATCCTTCAAGTCCATTTGCCTAATACATATGCTTGCCATGCCTGACATTACAAGCCTCATCCTAATCTGGAATTTAGCTATTATTTGATACTTTATATTCTAGGATTCCTTCCTTAAGTCCAAAGCTTTAATTTAAGCCAGCTGTTCCACAATAACTCAACATGTGTGGGATTTTCTCACTAGATGAAAACGATAAGCAGGATTTTTTTTTATTTTAAAAGTTACATTATGCCCATTGAGAGACGGCTAATTTTAAATAAAGGCAAAGAAATTGTCACAGTTCGTTCAGCCAAGTAATGTGAAAATGATCCTGTGCAACACAGCTGGGTTTGTTACTGGTATTGTGTTGGCCATGTTACGGGCTAATGTACAAAGTTACCTTGGCTTTTTTAGCTTCCCATTTTCACTGACCTATGCACTTTGTTTCATGCTGATAATTAATACATAATTATTAATATAACAATATAATATTCTAAATGGGCATTATTTATTCAAATTACAGCATACACTGAAGACTTCGTGCTCATAAGGGAAGGTGTCAAAGTGAACATCTGGTGTACTACTAAAACACAGACAGTTTTTGCACTGAAATATATTGTTTTTCAATACCATTTTCATCACAAGAAAATAGCAAATGGGCTCTAGAAAAAAACAAGCACTGTCATACCAGAGGCAATGGCAGGTAAAGGGTTAAAATCAACACAGGATTTGAGAGTAACAGAACGTTTTCCTGCAAACTCCTTCTATGGTGTGATCCAGGGGAAGGTCCAACTCAAGTGCTGGATGTTCATACAGGATTTCCTATGACTAATGCTGTCAGCATTCAAGACTTTTGATTTAAAATGTGGGTGTTACACACAGATAGGAAATTTACCATTTACAATTTCATATTTGAAAATGAATGGAAATTACTCTGATTTTCAGATTCATTTGCTGTATGTGGAATGATAGCATAAAATAAGGAAGTCACTAAGTGGCATATGCTGGGATTGCCTGCCAAGCTTTTACACAAGTCTTTTATATTTAGATGGGATTCACAGGAAGCTTGTACAGGAAGGCCTTCCTTACTTTTCAAAAGCTTTGCTGGATGGAAATAATGCCAGTGAGTAAAAGAGGGAAAGGGGGAACAAACCATCATCCTGGTGGTTTTGGTGTCAATTCAAGCAAAATTGGAAGTCACATCTACATGACATTGATGCAACCTGTTGTAAAATAAACTAACAAAACCAAGCCTAGGGATCACAAAAGATGGTTTTGATTTGAAAGACACAAAAACAAAGTAATACAGAAACCAAACCAAACTGGAAAATGCTAACTTGAGATGTAATCTCTTGCAATTAAGTTCAGTTTGCCAATATTTCTAGCAAAGTTGCCATGGCCATATATACTCTCCAGCAGACTTGCTCTGAATTCTATTGCAAGCTCTGGGTGCTTCAGATAATGTTTAAATAGAGATATTTTATTAAATTAAACATGAAGTCACTAAAAGCACTTGAGCTGTCATTACAATACCCTTTCTATTCACTTCTTAATGTCACGTTTATCCCACTTTAATGATGCAATATTAACTTTTAATTGAAACTGAGATTTCCTTGTGTCTTGTGACACATTGGAAAAAGAAGGTCGAGTCCAGCTATTAAAAATCACTATTCTTTCCTTAATCTGGGTCTTCTAAAATCCCTAGTGGGCATATTACTGTTCTATTATTGAGCCAAGGAATTTGCTTCATTGGGAAGCATAAGAGATATAAATAAATCTCCAGGTAAATTACAATGGGTATAGATGCCTGTTCAGCATCTTCTATG